GTCAGAGTGTCAGCGCAGCGGTCAGTCGGTGCGTCAGAGTGTCAGCACAGCGGTCAGTCAGCGTGTCGGCACAGCGGTCAGTCGGTGTGTCCGTGTCGGCACAGCGGTCAGTCGGTGTGTCAGTGTCGGCACAGCGGTCAGTCGGTGTGTCAGTGTCGGCACAGCGGTCAGTCGGTGTGTCAGTGTCAGCACAGCGGTCAGTCGGTGTGTCAGTGTCAGCGCAGCGGTCAGTCGGTGTGTCAGTGTCAGCGCATCGGTGGGCTTTTCTTCTGTTCTTGCTCTTGCTCCCTTCCTGTGCTGCCCTCTGTCACTCTCTGAAAGGAATTGTGTGTGTCCTTTCATGACAGAACCTACAGCTTTTTTTCCTAAGTTTCCATTTATGTCCTCACTTGTTCTACAAAATTCCCTATCACTGTGCATCATTGTCTCAGTTACTCCTGCGCCCAGCCTCCCCCTCCCTTGCGGGAGAGTATTCCAGCAGGGCGCTTGGGCTTCGGCTCTGTGCGTTAGGTTAATTGTGCCCCCCACTCGCTTCCTCCCTCTCTCTTTCATTCCTCACCAGCCCCCCCCACCCGCCCTCGGTGTGGCCCACCGCAGCGGGCAGACTCCATCACGCTACCGCCATCAGCTCCCATTGTCTCCCGACTCAATCACCTCGGTAACAGCTTGTCAGGACCAATCACATTGCTCGCATCTTGTCGGGAGTCTCCCAGCATTCCTTCAGAGCGTCTCTGCTCCGGCAAGGAACAATAATAATAAAAAAACACGGGCTAAAAAATTAAGACAGAAAGAAATATTAGAGGTAATCACAACAGTCACATTCATTTGTTTCTGCTACTTTAAGCTGCAAATGCCCCTGCCTGCAGCCGCCAGTTTCTAAGTATATCATTGTCTCACTGCCTTAACTCCGCACACCTCCTGTCTCTCACGTTCTCTCTGACTCCTGAGCTCCTCATTTCCATCCTCCACTCTTTCCACTCTGTCCTTCTCTCTCCCCCTCTCTCCTCCTTTCTCTCCCCTCACGACGATGGACGCTCATAGATCCAGAGACGCTGCCGCTCAGAACACCGAACATTGGTTTAGATGCCCCAGCGGCCTGTTGATCGAGGGATTACTGGGCTCTGGCTTTGTTCCAGACCCCCGCCACTCCCAGTGTAAAGAAGCATCTCCCTGACTGGCTCTCTGTATTGACTTTAGTTTTACAGTGGAATAGCATAGCCATCCTCAGCTTGGTGTCACACATATTTCATTCCCTTGTGCACTTCTTCCCTAGACTCTCCGGAAACTGTTAGAGGTCAGAGGTCAGACTCCTTCCCACTGCCTCAGGGTGTTACAGTCCCTCATGTTTGTGATGGAAAAGCACAACCAAGAACGCAATAATAACCCCAACTTGTCTAGAGCTTTTCTCTCCTCCAGCATCTGCAAAAAATATTTCATGTTCTCTGTAAATAACGTAAAGTGCACATAAAA